GGATGGTGATAGAGGGTAAAGAGAAAAGCTCCATTTGGGTGATATGAGTAGACCTGTGCCACCACCCCTACCAGTGGGCCTGGGAGTGTGGCTGAAGGAGAAGGCGGAGGAGAGAGCGGCTGGGGTGGATGTGTTCTCCGGTGTGATCCAGGTCTCGGTGAGAGCGAGGAAGTCAAGAGAATGCTGCATAGCAAAGCCGGAGATGAAGTCAGCCTTGCGAGTCGCTGACTGGCAGTTCCAGAGACCTCTTGTGACGAGGTGCTGGACATGTGTGGAGCGGGTGGGACCGGTGAGAGAGGAGAGGTTACGATAGAGCAATCTGTCACCTCCCTGCCGTCTTCTTCTCCTTTTGTTGTGTTTAACGGCGGCTTGCATCCTTTTTGATGCATTACCGCAGTCTTCTGGTTCCCAACTAATGTACTTTCCCCATCAGCCCTGTTGCTGGCAAAAAGTGTGTAAGCACCTTCTTCCCAGCTTACTAGACCCCCACTACGGTTTAGCGCTCTTTCTATCATCCCTTGTGTTTGCATTTTTTTCAGCATGTCTTTCCTTTCTGAGTTGTACACTCTAAAAGGCGTAAATTAACAGTATTTTACTGGCAGCAGGGACGCCAGGAATTTACCGTTATTTTACGGTATAATACCGTAAATGATTTTTACACTATGTTACCGTAAAATGGATTACTGTATGTTATCGTAAACTTGAACAAATTTTACTGTGAATTAACTGCAATTTACTGGCAGTCGACGCTAGTAACTTACTGTTTTATTTACAGTGCCCTACCGTAATTTACGGTATGTTGTCATATATTGGATTACAGTTACCATACGATTACTGTTTTTGTGTTATAAATACCAGAATGTTACCGTTTACTTATAACCGTATACTTAAATTAAATTAAAGAAAGACAACCAAACTCATTTCGGTCATAGTGGTTGGAGTTTATTAGATGCCTTTAACACAAAAATGTTAGGCATTTGTATCCAGAACACAAAACATAAAATATGCAGCATGTATACATAATAAAAAAATGAATCATAAAATCATTAGGAACAAGGTAAACTAACTGCAACAATACGCTATGGAACACTTTCAATTGACCGCAGCAAACGGCTGGCGTCCTTAATCCAGTGCCTCTGTAAAACAAACCAAAATAAAATATTTAGAAACACTGTCATTGGTAAAATATTAAAATTACAAAGATGAGGAAGACAACAAGATGTAGGGAAAGAGAATGTTAAAGGTGCCAGGAAAATAACACTTACCAACGTTACTTGGAGAGACGAGGCAATGAGAAACTCCTCCCATGTTGAACTGACAGGTGTTCTGGATGAACTGAGATTACGCTCTGACGTCACGTTCAGGAGCAGTGGGTCAGATTAACACTCAAATGACTTTTAGGCAATGAACACTTTGAATAATACAAATATTTATAATCTTCACATTCCGGCCACTGAAACGACAGCGAAGGCGGCGCATGGGATAGGGAGGGTGTGCTGTGCAGCACAAGGTTGGCGGTTCAAATCCTGGCTGCTCCCTGTGCCAAGTTGAAGTGTCACTGAGCAAGACACCTAATCCCCCAAATACTCCACATAAAATGATGTAAAACCATGGGCGGTAAAAGTGGATAAAAGTGACAGCTGCATGTATAGTAATGTCCTGTTAGTCAAAGTCATCATCGTATCTTATGAGATACTATCTCATCATGATGACTTACAGGACCTGTTTATCACTGGCTGACGTGGGCCTCCATACATTAACCTACAACAGATGTAGATGGATTGTGATTCACTGCACTTGTATGTGTATTTCCACCACTTCATAAAATATATGTAACATGCAGTTGAATTACGGTAGTCTGCTATTATTGTAAATTGACAGCTTTAACTGTTTATTTATGACATTGGCCGTTAATTTACAAGCAAGGGATGGAAATTTAACTGTGTGTTACAGTTATTATGACGTACTGTAAGATACCGTTAGAAATGCACCGTAAATTTACAGCAATTTGTTACAGTGTATCTATTACAGGCGGTGATAACATGTTGTACAGTTTCTGGTGTCTGGCAGTGTTCACAAAGGCTGGTTGGATGCTTTCCGATCAAGCACAATGTGTTACGTAGATTGTTGTGACCTATTCTTAATCTTGAATTCTAATTTCTTCTCTCCCCTGAATTTCACATTGCTCACTTTACTCTGAATTGAATGTGCCCCCCCCCCCCGTCTCTTGGTCCCATTGTTGGTGCCATACTCCCGAAATACTTTTCCCGACAATGCCCTTTCCCTCTGCTTTAGAAGACAGACACTCATCCTCAACCGTCCCAACAGACATCAATACATTTATAACATTTTTGCACTTATTGCTAACATTTTCAATGTGGTCTTTCAATATTAATCTGTTGTCAAATTGCACTCCTTATAACTGAAACGACTCTACTATTTCTAACTTGTTTCAATAAAGATTCAGCTGTAATTTCACATATTTCTTCGTCTCCCATAATTCAACTGGTTTTATCCCTTGTATTTTGTTCCAAGTTTCTACCTTTTTTCCATAAGGCCCATCATCTGCAAATAGTGACCCATATAGGACTTACCACCCTACCCTGCGGGGTCCCATTTTGACTTCACATTCCCTGGACTTTTCCGTTCCTATTCTTACCTGGATCATTATTTTACTTAGAAACTCCCTTATCCAAAAATCTGCTTAATTCCCATTAAATGCATTTTAAATCAAAAGCGCTTCCCTCCATAGCATATCTAATGCCTTTTCTACATAAAAAAAACACTGCTGCCAGTTTCTTACACTTTCATTCATTTGATGGGTCACTTTGATGGGCATCTTTCCCCGGCTTCCTTAGAGGGACAATCACAGGCTCCTTCCACCTTGCTAGTAGTACCATCCTCCCACACCTTATTGTATAATGTTAGTACCTTATTCAGCCCCTCTCCACTTCATTGCTTTACCATAATATACCATATTGCATCATTTCCTGGGGCCGTCATTCCAGCTTTGGCAACTGCTTTTTTCCCCCCATTGAAAACAATACATTCAATTCCTCTTCAGTATCCTCCCTCCTCCCAATGCCTTCCTATTTGTACATCTTGTTTCCTCTCTAGTTCGCTTTCCTTTATCAGACAGATTGTTATTGGTGTGTATATGTATCAGCCAATGTCTCAGCTTTCTGTTTATTAGTCACCGCTACCTCCTCTCCAGCTATTAGCGCAGGATAACTCCACTCTCTTCTGTTCCCTCCCATCGTTCTAATCCCCCACACTTCTCCTACTGGGGTTATATTTCCAACTGTGTCACAAAACTTTCTCCAGTGTGTCCTTTTTGCCTGCCTAATTGTCTTTCTCACTGCTGCCTGCACCTTTTTAAACTGTATCATATGTTGATAGTTATGAGTTCATTAACTGAAATGCCCTGTTTCTATTTCTAGTTGCCTCTTTACGCGTATTGCTCCACTGTGGTACAGTTTTTCTACTTGATTTTCCTTTTCTTTTTGCTGTAGACTGTAGGGCAGCTGCCCATATGCCTTCTGTTATAATATCATTTAGGGTTTCTATAGTATGGGGTCAGATTAGTCTCAATGATAGCAAATGCACACAGAACCTCACAAATGCAAACCGGAAGATTCACAGATGTATTCGATTTACAAATGCACACAGAAGGATTTACAAATGCATTTCAATGCACACATCAATAAATTACGATTTATATTTACCGATCGCACCGCATTTATTTGCAGATCGCTTCACATTTGTGTGTGGGTTTTTGAGACTCGTCTTACCACAAATGCGTTCATCGTGATATCAAGATGATGTATTGCTGCTTTAATTATTAACCTCAGCAGTTACATTTATCACCCCTGCTATGAAAGTCAGCAGCTTCTCCTTTTCTGCCCATATCCCACCTTAACTGCCTCTGCATACGATACATTTTCTTTCCTTCTTGTTTGTTGGACATCCACCTCTCGTCTCATGGCTTCACATCCCCAACATGCAAAACTATGTTTACCCTCACAGTTGCACCCTTTCCCCATTCATGCTCTCCACCACGCCTGGCACACGCCTGGCACACGCCTGGCACACGCCTGGCACACGCCTGGCACACGCCTGGCACACCTTACATTTCCTTTGCACACTTTTGCCACATGCCCAAATTCTGACAGTTGAACATGTCATTGGTTTTGGCGTAAACTCCCATTTTTTATTTAGGGGCCTAAAAGGTTTTGGAACTTTTCTAGCGTATAATGTACGTATGAGTTAGCCTTCAACAGTGTTGACTGTTTAGCGTGGTGCACAGATTATAGCGACCCCTGGTCTGCCCCGATTAGGCTCAAGAGGATATCTTTATGCAAGTATAGATGGACAGTTTTTCTGACGAGTAGCTTGTTTAATACCAAAGAAGCTTCAGACGGGACTTCCAGCTGGGTCTTATCCGTTGTTTGGACTAGACCCAAAAATGTCAGTGGGTGTGGTTACTATGTTTGGGATTTTGGCCTGCTGAGCCCGAAAACTGTTGTTTCTATAGTAAGACATTTTCATGAGAGTAAGAAGTTCAGGAAGGAATGGGAACCGTTTCTCTGACTTTGTTTATTCTTTGAAGTCCGCAGAAAACCTTCTTCCAGTTGATAAGAACTAATCTCATCTACTTTCTAGGCGAGGCACCGTTAATATTACTCGAGTTAATCTACGCAGTGAAAAGTCAGAGCAAGGCTCCGCTCGGAATACAGAAAGTGATCTGAATCCCCCCCCCCCCCCTTTTGCATGTCATATACTTGAACAAATTAGGACAATTTCTTAGTAAATTTGATGCAAACCGATATTTACCATAAAGGTTTGGCACATACAATCATTGGGGTCATGGTGTCTGAGTGGTGATATTGTAACTGAATATAAATCCTTGATGATATGCACATACTGAATAGTGAGCCTATACTGAGTTAATGTCTTTCCTTGACCCAGGAAGGCTCTGAAATTTACTGTGGAGGGAGTGACCCGTGTCTACCTTTACCCCGAGACGGACGAGCCTGTTCCCATCCTCAACATTAAAAGAGGAATCCTTTCAGCTCTCATTGTGCCCGTCATGGAGGATGAACAGAATATCTCCATGGTTGGTATCTTCTCACAACCTAGATTACCTTATTTTAAAATTGAATACAAAAGGCACAAGGATGTTGCATCAGATGTAAATTGCATTATCCCTTTAGCGTAAACTTGGTCTGTCAGCTAGTGAGAAAATAGTACAGAACATTAAGGCTAATGAGTGGTGAAAAGAGAAGTAAATGGATTAAAGAAGTTAAACAGCAGTTTGGTATGTAGAAATTGGCCTTACGTGTTGTCGCCAGTATTTGAGATAACATCTACATTTACTCTTTTGTCAGAGCACAGTGCACGGACAGTGTTCTACAAACTACCTGGTGCATGACAGAAAGGACGCAGCCACACAAGTAAAACTTTCCAGAGATCTCTCCCAATGCGATCAGTTCTACAGCAAGGAACTTGTCAACAGTCCCCTTGCCTTGCTGCAAAGAATGGTGAGATGTTACTACATGGTTCCTATTGTTCATGGCATTGTGAGGGTGACCATTTATCAAGCCTTGTTATGACAAAATGGGTTCTACAAAGACCTGACTTTGTTCAGCCAATTAAGTATCATGTCTCTGAAGTCTTCTAAAACAACAGTCTCTTTGCATCTCCTGGAGATCAAAGGTCATGAGACTTCAATAGAAGACGATAAAATATGAATGAGTTTAAACCATTTTTTGCATCTTTTGTGAAATAAAAAATAACTGATTCCATCCCTGTACACTTCCTTATCATTATACAATTTAGACTGTGTAAAAATTCTAACCGTAGTTGGTATAAAAAAATGTGAAAACGCAAATATCAAGTCTTCTCTCGGAAAATGTCCTTGAGGCTTGGAAGTGTATATGAACATTAACAAACAAACATTTTTTTCCAGCATCGTCCATTGTCTAAACTGATTACAAGCACTCAAGACTGCAACTACCAGTTTGATAACCAGGGGAAGCACATCGTGGTCGCCATGTGCACAGAAAATCACTTCTATGAGCCATCTTACTCTGTGTAAGTCATCACCGGTGTGTATATATGTGTGTATTTAGTGCATTGCTTTGCTTTTTGCGTCACCTTCTGATCTGCCTTGCTGGGACAGTGGAATATCATCTAAAGTGACCCAGAATCTCAGCTTTCAGAGCTCCAAAAGGATAAACAACAAAGTATTTGGTCAGTGTCTGCAATGGAGAATTTTAGTTTTCTCTTTTATCTCTTTTTTGGAAACGCAAAAATAATTTACAATGTGTGTGTCCACAGACATAAATCCCAGCCACAGCAAGCCACTCCACTTTCAACACAATGACAATAAAGCTCCAGTTCAGACGAAGGACACTGCTCTGAGCACTCTCACTGACCTCATGGCTTTGGCCGGCACCGACCAGGGTCAGAGGAGGACCAGCCTTTTCCATAAGCTGGTGTCCAGCCTGCGCGTCCTGAGAAACGAGACCCTAAGCCAAACGGTCACGGAGATGTTGGATGTGTCAGGCTTGCTCACCTGGCAGGCCCTGTTCCAGTGTGGATCCACAGAGTGCACCAGTGCCATTTTCCAGGCTGTCAGGACCATTGATGGTCCGTCACCAGAGGTGGACGCTCTAATCTATGGGCTGAGTCTAGAGGCTAATCCCGATGCCACACGTGTCAGAGATATGCTCAGCATGGCTCAGTATAAGCAAAGCAGGGCCATCATGTATGCACTAGCAAACACGGTCAAAAAGTAAGTCAAATATTGTTTCTGGCATTTCTAAAACTTATGATCCATTTTTCAATATTAGTACACTTATATTTGTATGTTAATACTGTGGAAAACCTATTCAATTTGACCACAAGAGGAAAATATTCTCTAACTAAACTTTTTAACACCACTTTCATCCAAACCATGGCATCTTATTTGCATATATATATATATTCTAGCTTTTATCTGATCCACAGGTTCCATAAAGCAAAGGTTACTCCAGTGGTCACTGATGTGTCAAAGTTCATAGAATCCCTCCTAAACGACTGCCTGGAAGAATCACTAAATGAAGATTCTGAGATTTCTTCTGATCCCAAAGAGATTACCTTCCTCGTACTCAGGGTACTAATCATTGAAGATTTTAACCGACTGTATTTCTGAACTGAATCAGCTCTTGACAGGGATTCTGGTTAGAAGCTGCCCTCCAATTAATCCTTTCTCATTTCCAGGTTGTTGGTGTCATGGGTAAAGCCATGCAAGCTGTGAGCCCCAGCCTGATTTCTTCCATTTTGCGCTGCGCTAAGAGAACTGACATTCCATCACCAAACCAAAAGGCAGCTGTACAGGCCTTTCGGTTGATGGACATTAATAATGAGGTAAAACTAGGTCACACTAGAGCATTTATTCTAGGCTGATGATGACCACAGCCTATAGTGCTGCTTTGTGAAGTATGTGTCAGCCCTGTCAGGCAGGGATTTAAAATCCAATAAATAAAATGAATACAATTTTTTTATAAATGGGAAATAAAAGATGCCAACAATGCCTGTTGTTTGGAGAGTCTAAGTCTCCATAAAGACAGGTTCTTTTGTACTGGGGGGACAAAAGCATGGATCACCAAGACATACATTTGAGATTAAAATGTGCTTTTATTATAAATAAAAATAACTGCAATTATATTATTGTTAAAAGTCCAACTAAAATGGATCTACTAAAGAATGAAGAGTTTGACACCACGTAAAAAGCCGGCTATCGGGAGGGTTCGTCAGGGTCCAGCTGATTCCTCTGGTTTACCCACTCGTCTGACCTGGGCTCGCCCAATCTTTATGGACACCACCGCCTGTCGTTGCCAGGTCCTCCTCTCGTCTGTGGTCCTTCTCCTGCCGTGCTTCCTACTCCTTCTGTGCTTCCTACTCCTTCTGTGCTTCCTACTCCTTCTGTGCTTCCTACTCCTTCTGTGCTTCCTACTCCTTCTGTGCTTCCTAGCCCTGTCCTGCCCTGCTTGTGTGTGCCCTGCTCCTTCCTCTGTCGTATTTTCTCCTTCTGCTGCTTCTTCTTTAGGTTTAAATGGCGGATCGCAAACAAATTGTCTAGGTGCATACCGCCACCTACTGTACCGTAGTGTGCAGATTCAGGGTATAATGGTCAAACTAACTACCACTGCCTACTAGATCCTACGGCCTAGTCCCGTTTCTTTGACAAATTGTTTTTTTACAAATTATTTTGCCTTTGCCATTTGCCGTACTCATGCTCGCTGCCACAAGCATATGTTTTCTTTCCATATCGATTTGTTTCTTTTCTGGAAGCCTTCCCAAGCTTTGCTTCTCTCACTTCCTGTATTATCTCATCTACGGACACAGACAGTGGCACATTCTGTACATCAGCTCTCAGCTTTGAAAGCACTTCCTGGAATATCGCTGCTGATCCTTTCTCCATTCAAAATATCAGCTCGAAGTTATGAATTACATCACATCACATGTCATTTAGCTGACTTATAATAAGTGCATTTCAACCATAGGATACAAACTCAGAAGAACAAGAAACAAGTGCAATTTCATCAAATAAGCCGATTTACAATTTGCTGTAGATAAGAACCATTATAAGTCCAATGTAAGTGCTCCAGTTAGTGTGTTAGTGGAGGTAGAGTCTGAAGAGGTGTGTCTTTAGTCTGAAGATGTGAAGGCTCTCTGTGGTCCTGATGTCTTCAGAGACCTCCTTCCACCATTTAGGAGCAGGACAGCAAAGAGTGGAGATCTAGTCGAGTGTTTTGCTCTCAGTGAGGAGGAACAAGCAGTTTATCACATGCAGAGCGGAGAGTGCAAATAAAACCAACCATGCTAAACAGACTCACAGCAACAACCCAATCTATGCAGCAATATGGTCTAATATCTTCCTGATGACATATTGATGTTGTATTTTAACATTTGATCAAAAACAGGTCAAAAACATCTTAATGGAGGTGTTGAAGGATTCACAGAACCCTGTTGAGAAACGTGTAGCAGCCTACTTGATTCTGATGAAGAACCCAGACCAAGCCCTGGTTAGAGACATTCTGAACAATATGCAGAACGTGATGAACGAGCAGCTTAAGAGCTTTGTGCTCTCCCATCTGAAAAACATCCGCAACTCTGACCAGCCTCAAATGTATCAGTAAGTATTTATTTACAGCTTCATAGCAAATGCAAATGTCTACTGATGTGGTAATGATAGAAATCCTATTAGAAACCTTGAACATAATAACTAACCACAGACAAAGCTTACAAAAAGCCAAGCTCTTTTTTCTCAGGAAATTGTGTCGATCAAAAGGGAGCTAAAAGTGAATTGACATCCATGAATTGACTCACGCAAACAAGTTAATGTTTCTATCTTTTTTCTAGGTATAGGTCATTTTTTGCTAAGTGGTTAGCAAAAGCAATTCTGAAAAAATGTTAGCATATTTTGTTTTTGAAACAGGAAACCTTTTGTTACAGGTCCTGGATCTGACCCTTGACTACTCAAAAAACATTGTCTTGGCAGTGACATTTTACTAAAACCATCTTCTTTCCTCCTAAAGACTTAAGGAGTACATTGAATTGGCCTTAGGAGACCAGCTATTGCCTACAATTAAGGTACTTAATGGCATGTCAATGAACCGCAAAATGGACTCTCCTTTGGGCTCAGTGCAGAGTAACATCATCTTCAATGGCACCGACACCCTGCCTAAGGAGGTGATGCTGGAGACAACTCTAAACGCTTTTAACTACAACTATGACATCTTTGAGGTATGTTTTTCAACAGTAAACATGTTGCATGTGGTAAAAAACCCACAAACTAGATCTGTAGAGATTTCACCATTATAAATCTCCCACATTCAAGGTCTGCATTGAAGGAACAGGATTTGAACCAACAATTGATGCTCTTTTCGGAGAAGAAGGTTTCTTCCCTGACACCATCTCCAAAGTCATGTACTGGGCAGGTGACAAAGCCAAGATGCTCAAGGAGGTTTTGGGTAGGGTTGCTCCAGAAAGATCCAGAATGAAGAGACAGGTGAGAGGATTTTGGACACATCACCCATATTTTGCTCGTTCACACCAAAAGTTTTCGCAAAGTCTTACGTTCACCAGCCCGACTAGTTGCAGTTAATTTCCTTTCATTTGCATGCCGCTTCATTCGTATTCGTAAAAATAACCCATATTTCTGCTCTGTACTTTACACAAACATTGGAACTGCAAACGGCGTCGTGTTTGGTTCATGACATCGTCTGTCACCGCACACAACACAATGACTTTCAACTACTTCTCCAGGAACTGCGTGTTTCGTTCAATCTCAGCTGCGGAGCGCCTGTCTATCTGCCTCTTGTGAGTGGCAGTTTCATACAAGGAGCAGGATGACGAGCAGAGTATCTCAACGCTGATTGGCTTTCACAAGACACGGCCTGAAAAAGTTGAAATATTTCAACTTTGACAAAAGACGTTTTATTCGCTTCGCTCCATTCACTCCTTTGTGTCTTAGTGTTTTTCGCGCCACTTTTTTTGCTTCATCCACAACCAGACGCGTCTGTGCATTGACTTGACATGGAATCTACTCGCTCAAATAATTTGCTTTTGGTGTGCAACACAACAATGTTTACTATGCCTAACTATATTTTACTCGGTTTGGAAACTTCATTGAGCACGCGCGACCAGAAATTGACATCCATTTTGTAATATCCCTCCAGGTCCCACACGATCTCCTGAAAGATATCTCTAAAGGTGTCAAAAAGCTCATGTATGACGTGCATCTCCCTCCAGCCCCTGAAGCAATTGGCTATCTTCGGCTTCTGGGTGCTGAAATAGGATACATGAAGACCAGTGACATGACAAAGATGGCTGAATCTCTGTTCATGTACTACAATGTTTTCTTCAAGGTGCTACCTGCCAAGGTCAGATATGCTGTTCCTGTATGTTTCCTGAATTTTGCCAAAAGAATAACTGAAGAACCTACCATTTGGATTACTGGTGTGTGAGTGCATTCCCTATCTTTCTCAGGAATGCAAATTTTTCAGAAAGCCGTGCAATTTGAGGAAAAACTCCGAATTTTCTATTATTTCTCAATAAATCCTCATACATCTGCATTTGCAGAGTACTCAGAAGCTGCAGTTCATATGTAGCTTGTTTGTTTACTTTCCAACAGGCCATTTTTGCATTGATATCTAGCAGTGAAAATGAAGTATTTGCCCATTACATCTTCATGGAGACTGCATTCTCTTTACCTACTGCTGCTGGCTTTCCTCTGAAGTTC